GTTGGGGCTAAAAAAAAAAAAATCATTTAAGCTAACAGTGACTATTTAATGTGAAAAGGGGATACTACTTATCATTGACAAGTACATTATAACAAGGTTCTATTGTAGTCTGTGTTACCTACCCGCCCAAATGTAAACAAAACACTTGCAACAACTGTCGGGTTATCTCGCTCCACTGATTTCCCTCCAAGTCCAATACGGCTGACATCCGCGGCGTATGGGCTTTGGCAACCTGGTGGGACTGGGTTGTCTCACAAATAACAGGTAGCGCAATGGAACATGTGACTGAAGAGGGATTGTGTGTTTGTCAATGACGCGCCCCCACCCCCACCCCCCCCTCCCCCAGCGATTAAATTTCCGATGTCTGTTCCCAATGTGGATTAACATTCCTCTTTACGGATCAAACCTTTGTTTTAAAACAATCTTGATGTTCACAATCACCACCCTCCCCCTCCCCCCCGGGGGTCACTTAACCCAACTACCCTCACCACAAGCTGAGTATAGAAATTTGTATTTTTTTTAATTTAAGAATAAAGTGATTTTCCTAACCAACGCGTCACTGTATCATGATCATCATCATCATGAGTGGCCCGTGGTTAAGGGGGCCCATTTTTAAGGAGCTTTTTTTTTAGAAATCCCATGATTTAAGGAGCCAATGTTTTAGAAAGCCCATGATTTAAGGAGCCAATGTTTTAGGAAGCCTGTGATTCATGGGGGCTATTTTTTAAGCACATGTTTCTCGAGAGCCTAACTTTCAATCAAGGCAGACCATGTTTCTAGAAAGGGCCAAGCGAAGGAGGAGACACAAGGGAAACATCCTTGGGTGCTATTTTCACGGGACGTCAAATAGTAATTTTCTGTACTAAAGTTATGTGGGGGGGGGGGAAGGCTTTTCCCCAGTCACAACTTTGCTTGCCACACTTGACCCAGTCAGCACTTTGCTTGCCACACTTGCCCCAGTTAGCATTTTGCTTGCCACACTTGCCCCAGTCAGAACTTTGCTTGTCACACTTGTCCCTTCATCACTTTGCTTGCCACACTTGCCCCTTCATCCCTTTGCTTGACACACTTGCCCCAGCGAGCACTTTGCTTTCCACACTTGCCCCAGTCAGCATTTTTGCTTGCCACACTCGCCCCAGTCAGCACTTTGCTTGCTACAATACACGCTGACATATTTGGATCTGTCAAACGTGTAGCAGCCGACTACAATGATATGTCGTATCATGCGACACTTTAATTTGTGTGAGCAAACCGTTTCCTAGGCTGTAAGTTATTCAATATAATTAAACAATTCTAGAAACGATTGAAACGTTGTCTACTGTTAATGTTATCAAAATTATTATTATCTTTCCAAACAGTTCTTTTGTTCCAAAGGGCTGAATACCTTGCTTTTTGACCTAGTTGCATTCCTTGGGTTGGGAAACTTGTGTTTTTTTCTAAAAAAACACATAATTATTATTTTTTTTATGTTTTTTAATACCATATGAGAAAATCATTTTTTGACTTCATAAATTGTTAAGCTTGAAATGGTGGTGGATGGTGGTGGATGGTGGTGGATGGTGGTGGATGGTGGTGGATGGTGGTGGATGGTGGTGGATGGTGGTGGATGGTGGTGGATGGTGGTGGATGGTGGTGGATGGTGGTGGATGGTGGTGGATGGTGGTGGATGGTGGTGGATGGTGGTGGATGGTGGTGGATGGTGGTGGATGGTGGTGGATGGTGGTGGATGGTGGTGGATGGTGGTGGATGGTGGTGCATGGTGGTGGATGGTGGTGGATGGTTGTGAAGAAGTGTTGATGACTCCACGGAAACGTCTTTTTTTAAACCTATGCACGTCAAGTCAGAAATATACACAAGGGGAAAAAAATGCTAGAGAAAAACGTATAACTTATAAATACAAGCCGCATGGGTCTGGTTGTTTGACTTTGACACCTAACTTATTGCTTTGATACTTAACTAATGACTTTGAAACCTAAATTTTGACTTTCACACCTAAATTGTGACTTTGACACACACCCGTAACTTATGACTTTCAAACCTAAATTGTGACTTTGACGCACACTGGTAACTTATGACTTTGAACCCTAAATTGTAACTTTCACACCTAAATTTTGACTTTGACACATGGTAACTTATGACTTTGACACGTAACGTATGACTTTGACACCTGACGTATGACTTTGAAACATAACTTTTGACTTTGACACGTAACCTATGACTTTGACATGTAACGTATGACTTTGACACCTGACGTATAACTTTGACACCTAACCTAACTCAAATGTTTTATTTGTGTTCATGAAAGGAGATACGTTTCCAAGACGTTGTCTGAATGTTGACACAAGGTACCGAGATACCAGTCGTGACGACACAATGCTGTCGATCAGCAAACTTGGATGGACTTCATGTAACTATTAATGTAAGCTTATCAAACTATCAACCAGTGGTCACATTGTGAGGAATGTTGGGGAGAGGACGGGGGGGGGGATAGCTACTAACATTACGGCGGGCCTTCCAACGCGTGGACACCACGGGGGGTATGGGTGTGCTTAAAATATAGGTGCCCACGTTGGGGAGATATTGAATGATTCATCAAGAACTCTTCCGTTAATGTTGCAAGCTTGTTACCGTGTCCGATACATAATGGTGTCCCAAGCTTTGGCAGATATGATTTGTACTCGTAGTTTTCTCGTATTTAAACACATCCTTTGATGATTTCATGTTCTGACCTTGACTCGCAATCCGGTCGGGGCAGAATAAAAGTTGTCTGCTACTCCCAAGCCGGCATAAAAACTCCGATTGGCTATAGCTGCCTACCAGCCCCTCCCACTTTTCTACTTCAGCTCAACCCCATAATCCTTATAAACAGTGCATTGAGTCTTAATCGATGCCATTTACATTTGAAGATTGGAGACATGGCGTCCCATGTCTACAGGTCTATTTACTCGGCCATAAGTGGAATATAATCATCATACGTGCTTTCGATTCCTGCAATAAGAGAATAGATGCTGTTTGTGGGCATCAAAACGAGTTGATCTCTCCCGAGGACGAGCTTCGAGACATCACCATGCCCAACAGCAACAGCAGCAGCCAGGAGACCGGGTATTTCTCCAACGCGAACAACCCGAGAGAACCGATCCCAGGCCTGAATCAAGCGAAGCAAATCTTGTTCATGGACAAGGTCGTTGATTGGCTCAACTGTCACAAGATAGAGGGATGCCCTTTGCCCTTTGAACCGAAACCCAAAACGAAGCCGCTAGAAGATATTGAAAAAGATCTCCAGAACCTTGACCCTAGGATGAGAGAGTTCGTCCGCAAGAGCTACCGGTACAAGCACAGGTTTGTCGACACACACTTCAATCTGGACCATTTCATCGCTTGCCCGAGCGACGACAGGGTGCAGGAGATGCTAGATGAATTCCAGACAATGCCTGTCAATGCCGCAGGGTTCATTGCCGTGTTCACTGATCCAAGGATCTACACACGTTCGGGTGAGTTACGTCTCAGATAGGTGCGTGCGAACCACATTTTCATTACAAGCTAAAATCTAAAAAGTTTTAAATCTTTTTTTTTTCTTCGGGATCACGCCAATGGTAAGATTGTTGTTAATACGGGTGTTTTAAAACAATGATGAAAAAAATTCTGATCTAAACGATATGAACATGAAATCATTTGCATTTTTTTAAAAAAAAATATTGATTTTCAAAACAATGGACTGGCGATCCATATTGTGCTGTTACGGATTTCTGCATGACATTATTTAAAGCCGAAAACTCTAGTAGAAGAAGAAAGGCTAGACTCTGTTCCTCGTGCAATGGTACATCCAATTACTTCAGCTATTCTGATGACTCCCAATGACTCGCCGAACATCTGTGACGCAACAAAAACAAAGTTATGTGCAGTACAATCAAAGCAAATATCCACCCTTTTTTGTCAATAAATTATAATACCCTGACTGATTCCCTTCCTCTGACCGATGAACAATCTTGCTGGCTGCCGTCCATGGTTTGCCTTGTAAAAGTTATGGGGTAGGGTGGGGTGGGTGAATATACATAGCTGTTCTTTATTTCATAAATGTATTTTATTTTAATGTCATGATTATGTCTCTTTTGATAAAAATTTTATGTACAGCGTGGTGAGCCCAGCCCTAGGCTGGGGTACCGCGCTATATAAGACCTCTTATTATTATTATTAAAGTTTTACGGATGGAATAATTCCGCACCGTAGACGCCGTAGTCTCGACAGTTATTTTTTGATATGGCTTCAGTTTTTAATGTTAATATTTTTTTCTGCCTTTCCCACTAGATCCTTATCTGCCTTTCCCAAACACGACCCTGAACTTGAGAGGAGCGTGGAACGTCCTGGGGTGCCCTCCCAAACACGCACACACTTTCCAGAGTTTTCACGTTGTGGACTTTCAAATTGCCCTCTACTCCAAAAAAGCCATCGCCGTAGGACCGTGCGGACTGGACTTCACCTTGGACACGAGCGAGGAGCTTCAGAGATCCGTTTTCCTCATTCAGATTCAAATGGCGGTAGGCATGGACATGCCGTTGGTCGTTCAATGCAAGATGGCGGACTCTGAATGTTTGGACATGTTGGTGAAGGTAATTGCACTGCTCGATTACCTTCTTTCTTTCTCTTGTCTTTCTTTTTTCCACTTTCTTTCTTAATTTCTTTTAATGAAAAGTTCCCATCAATAAATACATGAAATTAAGCCAAGTGTTCTGAGGTGTCATAGTTCAAACTTTCTTATCATATTTTACTCTGAAATCTTCGAAATCGCCTAATGTATTCATCAGATGGTAATGGTATTCACTATTAAACTTTAGAATTATATTTCAATCATTTAAAATGCAGAAGACGATGTTATTGATATTATTTGTCATTTAAAAGTCCTAATTTAATGAAATACATTTTTCTTTGCTCACAAGTACGCCCCTTCCCGTCAAAGGATCCACATCCAAGGATTTGAGGGAGACGAAACGCTTGCCCAGCTCTGGATGTCGCATTTCCCGAACGTGTTCTTTGGCCTGCCGTCGTAGACGAGGACACGCCCATGTATGTCAAGGACATGGTCAGGTCGATGCCGCTGAACAGGATTCTACTGGAGTCAGGGGCGCCGAACTATGTTCCAAAGAATTTCAGGGTAAGCAACGCTTAAAGTCAAAGAGAAGAACGTTATGGTTTGGGGAATATTCCCTCCAAGAAATATTAATAGTGGAACAAAATAGGTTTCGGGAATATTCCCTCCAAGAAACATGAATAGTGGAACAATATAGGTTTGGGGAATATTCCCTCCAAGAAATATTAATAGTGGAACAAAATAGGTTTGGGGAATATTCCCTCCAAGAAAAATGAACAGTGGAACAATATAGGTTTGGGGAATATTCCCTCCAAGAAACATGAATAGTGGAACAAAATAGGTTTAGCCTTGAAATGAAAAGACGGGGCAATTAAAGGGATGTTTCGGCTAGATGCCTTCTTCTCAAGACAGAGCAAAACAAGAGTCAAGAAACGAATAATATATCCTTGACGGCCATGTAGCGTTATGTTTAGTACTTTAATGTATCTGATAACTTCTTTTATATATCTGAAGACTTCTTTTATATTTCTGATAACGTCTTATGTATACATATATATATATATATATATTACTTCTTTTATATATCTGACCTATTTTATATATATCTGACTTTTTAAAATATATTTCTGACTTCCTCTATATATCTGATGACGTCTTATTTTACATATCTGATGTCTACTTTTATATATCAGATGTCTACTTTTATATATCTGATGATGTCTTCTTTTATATTTCTGATGACTTTTTGTATATATCTGGTATATATATATATAATAAGTAAACTGTGTATTCTTAACGGTGAAAAACTGAACAAAAGGGAAAAAAAATTCGTTTCGTAAATGAAATCCCGTTCTTTCATATAACAAAGAAAATGTATCATGCATGTAATGAATTTGATTCGTATTCCAGGGGGCAGTGACCTGCTCACATTTTGGATTCGCCCTATGCGCTGCCCAAGCTGTAGGTGAGCTGAGACGTGAGGCCGTGGACACAGTGCTGGAAACCTGCAGGGAGAACACAGAGAACTTTTATGGAATGTAGTCCGCTGAGCTTTGTCAGAAACACAGATGGTTTATTAAGTAATATTCTATTTTTTTGCCTTTTAATATCATGTCAATACTTACATCCTGAACAATACATATCAGGGGTTCTAATGGTATGCGGGAGCCTGTGTCAGGCGTGAGAGAAGATCCAGAAAATCAGGTTTATTTGTATTTTTTTATATTTTAAAAAAAAAAGAAATTCGTTGGTTGTGGGATTGCGGGAAGTAAATTGAGGAGAAGTGGGGGGAAGGTGGGGGAGAGAGATGTTTTGAAATCGCTGCAAACAGTTAAGAACACCTGATGCTAATGAATCCGTGATAGTTTGTGACTAGTGTATGGGGTCAGTGTGTTGTAATAAATATTTGCTTAGCACAAGAGGATGATAAATGTAAAAATGAAATTAGTCTACTGGGCCCATTTTCTATATTTAGGTAATGAATGACCCTTTCAAATTTCTGTTTCCATTGATATGACGAGAAAAGCAGTACAAATATTTAACAATTTCAGTATTTAAGCATTTAATGAAATTTAGTATCTATATATTGCAAATAAAGTGTACTATGTATGTTAGTATGTAAAAATTTGATGATAATTTTAGCTGTTGTATGTTATTTTTCATGACAATTTTGGCATTGTCTTTATTTAATGACAACTATAGTATCTATATTTTATGACAATCTTAGTACCCATATAATATTATTTCATTGCAGTCAAATTTTCCATGACAACTTTAGTATCTATTTATTTGGTGACAATCTTAGTACCCACATAATATTATTTCATCGCACTCAATATTTTTTTCATTACAAATTTAGTACCTAATTATTTAATTACCAATATGAATGATCTACATGTGTACCCTGAATAGAAATACTCACATCTTTATATTTTCACCTATCAAAGTTTAATGGGGATGGCTGGGCAGTTTCCCCTATATATGACTTGTATCTTGGCAATAAAACTGGAAATATCTTGGTATTATTATGACGCGATGAAAACTATTTCCATGCGTTAAGTTTTTTTAAATGTATCTTTTTGTAAGTTATACAATTTGACCATGATTGTTTGTGGTGACCAATCATTTTAATTGCTTTACTTAAAGATGAGTGCTTTTTTAAAACAGTTTTTATTTGTGATTAATCAGAAAATTTATCAAATAAAATTGAGGTCTCTATAAAAATTTAGGAATGTTTTCGTTCAAATTTCATTTGTTACACTTTTATAAGCCATAATAGACCCACAGTGGGATAACTTTGTGCAATCATTCGTATTCTTTTTGTGTACTGATAGCAAAGTCGTGAGCCGTGAGACAATATGTGGCGTAAATTATATGGGCATACAAAATAGTGTATTCCAGGGAGCATCAATTGCGACGTTAATATGACGGTTATGGAGGCTGATTAGCGGAATGGACTTCTGTTCATCTTATGTGAGCCGTGTTTGTAACTGGGTTTTAATTTAACTTTGGTAGTCTACATCCAATACATGATTGTGTTTCTGGTTCAAAGAATTAACAAGGGTGGTGTACTTTGACGGGGCAGTGCATCTTTTAGCGCCAAATCAGACAAAATGGCACCCCCGTGTAACATATAAAAAAGGAGAAAAAATACTGTTTGTAGAAAATTGATCACTTAAGGCCATTCGAAAGAGGTCACTTTAAAATATATTGTCTATAGTGTCATAACTATTTAAAGAGGATTTGAGATATTTGCAAATGGCGTTCTATATTGATTTATTTATTTTAGATAAATAATTCATCTGAGGGAAGTTGTAGTTGTAGCAGTATAAAATAGCCAACAATTCAGTAGAATGAACGTTTGAAAAATTGCAAAACTACCAAACCTTTCTTCAGATAAATTAACCTGAATCAACAACGTGCGCATTTTCCAAACTCCTCGATACACTTCAAAACACGTTTTCTTGATTCCCCAGATTATTACTCGACAGGACGGGGCGCGGTGACACCCCACGGTTAGTTTTGAACAGACACGGATAGACTCATTGCCGCTAGAGTTCAAACATTTGTATAGAAAAGGCCTGTATGATCTGGGTTTAAGATCTTTCAAAAGAAATTGCAGAAATCCTCAAGCAAGGTTCACACGATAAGATCAGATTATTTCATCCAGCGTTCTTAACAACATTGCTCTCAAATATGTCTCACACTATACACAACTACGTCCCACAAATTACACAACTACGTCCTACACGATACACAACATTTGATGCAACTAAACTTATCATATGTATTTTTATGACGCCTTGTCTCTTTCAAATAAAACACCGATAATGGTAATCTCCTTATTTTAATGTGTTTTCTCTTTGAAAGAAACGTGCAAATTTGTTCATTGCGTTCCGTGTCTCATAGTTAGCAATGAATTGTGGAACATGGGATTCACAGTGTAATGAATTTTTGTTGCAAAGTTTAAGAAAGATGATTTCAACAATGGTAATTTTAAAGCTTGAATATCTCAATATAACAATTAATATATTCGGCTTGGCATTGTTTTCTTTTAGTGAGGAGGTTGGTCACTTGTTTAAGTGATAAGAGCATTTTTGCTCACAGTTGGAGTAAATACGACTACCAAATTGATGCCGCTCTGAACAGAGATTGCGCCTTTGTCCGCGCTCAATCAACTAACCATTGTGTCAATGTGCTACGTCCGACCTAAGCTTAGGTAACCACTTCGGACATATCATGTCTAATAAACTGACGATTGTGTCAGCAGTTAATGCTGTACACCCCAACTAAGCTTATGGAATTATGTAGGACGTATCAGGCTCAATAAGTGACTGGTACGTCCCGACTAAGCATAGGTAACCACGTGAGACGTATCACGCTCAATCAAATGACCATTGTGACAGCAGGGTAATGCGTTACGTCCCTACTAAGCGTAGGTAACCAATTGGGACGTATCACACTCATTCAACTGACCATTGTGTCAGCAGGGTAATGTAGTATGTCGCGACTAGGCTTAGGTAACCACGTGGGACGCATCACCCTCAATCAACTGACCTTTGTGTCAGCTGGCAAATGTGGTACGTCCCAACTAAGCTTAGGTAACCACGTGGGACGTATCACGCTCAATCAACTGACCATTGTGTCAGCAGGCAAATATGGTGCGTCCCGACTAAGCTTAGGTAATAACGTGGGACGTATCAGGCTCAATCAACTTACCATTGTGTCAGCAGGCAAATATGGTGCGTCCCGACTAAGCTTAGGTAACCACGTCGGTCTTGTACCGCGCAATCAACTGACTATTATGCCCCCAGTTTTATGTGGTACGCCCCACTTGGTTATCTAATGGTGTCCGCCATATTGGACGGTTTAAGGTGGCACAATCATCCGAGCGAAAAGACACCCAAAAAAAACCCATCTTGCCTTATCGGTACAAGTTTCGGGCAGTGGCGTTAGCTAGAATGATTGTGCACCCTGGGACAATATTCATTGTTTTGGCCCCCTTTATTCTGAAACTCAATTTTTTATCAACAGAAATAATTAATAAACCTTTCTTCCTTATTACCGCACCATTATCTGCACCTCTAATTTTGGTCTTGACATCCCCTTCAGTGTCCCTATTATGACCCGAGGACAGATACATACACGCATTTTCTCAGGTAGGGCAAATCCTGAATTTTAGCATCTTAAAAATATATATATTAATAAACACATGTTGCATACTTTTTTTTTGTTTATTACAATTTTTTGTTTCTAGAAATAGCAACCGGGAAGTATGTCAAATTCGCACCCCTCATCACGACCCTGATACAATTTCTAGAAACATGGTCTACCTTAAATTATTGGCTGCCTAGAAGCTTGTAATCTCTAGAACCATAGGCTGTCTCAAAACAAACAATTTCTAGAAACAGGGCTTCACTGGAAAATTCGGGTTTTATAAAAATATGGCCTCTCAAAAAAACATGAACACTAGAAACATGACCCCTTCCTCCCAAACGATTCAACGCTTTACTCTACCGTTAGCTTTATACAGTTTAGGGCTTATGTATACCAATGATACAGATAGCTGAAGCATCTTTTTGTCTCCACAGACCTATGATTACAAAAATTGAAAATATGTAGACCTGTGATTGAAGAGATTGATAATATGCAAAAATATGGTTATAGACTTTGAAAATATGCAAATTTTTAATTGCAAAGAATGACAAATTAAAGGACCAGCGATTGCAAAGATTGAAAATATGCAGAGATAGAAAATATGCAAAGTTTAGAAGTATGCAGAGTTTAAAAAAACTGCAGAATTTTAATTGCAAATATTGAAACACATAAGGCCCTAGTTTTGAAAATATTGAAAATTTGCAGTTTAAATATATGAAGAGTTTGAAAAAAATGCAGACTTTTATTTGCAAAGATTGAAAATATAAAGACCTCTACAATCCTAAGGGTGGTTCGCATCATCAGACAGTTCATGCATCACTCTTAACGACACCGCCCTCAGCTGCATCGCATGCTTCACACAGGTGATGAAACTCAAACTATCGCATGTAATGGCTGGCCGGGTTGAAATAAAGCAGGGGAGGTTCTCTTAAATAACTCTCAAGTATTTTAGTCAAGAAACATCCCAATTATTATTCCAGTGTGGCCCCAGATTTCATAGTGAGAAATGAACCGCGTAATCCGGTAATTACATCTGATTAATTTGTTATTGATTTTAATCTGTGGAAAGCGGCTAGGGTCAATTTGCGACACACACAATTTTTATAAAATAAATAATAATTAACAAAAACAATGTTTTTTTTTTAAATTTTGATTTTTCCATTCATGATTTGGGGTAAAGGGGATTAGGGTCTGGTGGTGCCCGATGGATTTGAGTGAGCAGATTTGCTACCATGAGTAAAGCCATCAAGCCATAAAGAAGCAGTCCGTGTCCGAGATAGCCCTTTAATCCAGGGGCAATCAAACGTAAGCCAACCTTGGTGTCCTCCAAACTGGAAGGGGGCTGGTAGGGGAATCGATCGAGCGGAACGATGCGCGCCCCTTGC